CTGCTTGGGACTTGTCTGTTGTTTTACTTGAAACTTGCTGCAAATGTTAATAGAGAGTTCAAAGTACTTTGTCAAAATGAGCCTTTTCTTGTGATTCAATAAACATACCGATTGGGAAAGAGTAGAAACCAGGGTAAAATGTAAACTATAAATTGATTGTGCACTGATGGTTCAGAGGTATAAATTACTGCTTTTTTGTTACTTCAGCACATTGGTGTGGGCATACCAAAAGTTAATTTGAGAAAAAGGAGACCCCATGTCCAGGTAATTGTGGATGGAGGTGACCAATAGTGCATTAAAATGCATAGAGATGGAGATAAGATTAGAAAGCTTCTGCTCTGCTTATTAGGAAGACCTAACTAGGGAACTGTTGACGAACAGCTTCCAAAGCATGAAGCTTGCATCTTTCTTTGTTAAATAATAGCAAAATTGTTATTCATGGTAATGAAGGGCATTATTTTAAATTGTGATGCATTACTAATAGCTGCTAATTAGAGCTGTGCTTTAAAGACTATTCTTCAGGCTGAGAGATGAATTGTAGCCTGAAAAGAGGCTGAAATGAGGAGAAAGATTTCATAAACCTGAAATCAGGAGAAAGATTCTGCATCTTTGTAAATTGTTTGCCAGGTTTTATTGCACAGTGTATGCTGTACAATAGGGGTGTGAAGCAGGCCCTATTCGATTCGGATTCAGGCTGAATTGGGGACGGTATTCAATTCATTGTTTCGGATCACTGTCCCTGATTCGATTCAACCGAATCCAAATCTGAAGATTCAATGCTGATTTCTACATACCTTGAGGTACCAGCGCCGCTTGTGAACGCAGTGATGCCTGGGTGCATGGAGCATCCCACAGGAGCATGGGGGCCCCCCCCACATGCTTGGCGGATTACCTGGAAGTGGGCTGGAAATACTTCCGGTCCACTTCCCGGTCTGCCAGGGAGTGTGCAGAGGGGCCCCCAGACACTCCTCCCAGCTTGGCGATCAGCTGCAGGGGGACCCCAGGTGCCCCCCCAGACCCAGGAAGCACCAGTCTCCAAACCAGGGGGTTGCGAGGGGGGGGGGGCCAGCATGCTCCCCGGCAGACCCAGAAGTGGACCGGAAGTACTTTTGGTCCACTTCCGGGTCTGCTGCCAACTGCACTAGGGAGACTCCTGTGCCCCTGTGGGACACTCCATCCACCCCTGCATCACAGCATTTACGAGCTGCCTGGTACCTTGAGGTATGTAGAAAAAACATTTAAAGCTGTGTCTATGTCCGAATTGCCAAATCTTTCCGAATCTCTCTGAATTGATTTGGAGGGTTCCAGTTTGATTTGAAGAAATTAAAGAGTCCTCTGATTCGATCTGGATTTGGAAATTTGGCCACCAAATTGGATCAAATCTCCACCAAATCAAATCAGGAACCAAAGCTTTGCACAGCACTACTGTACAGTAATACACAGGCAGAATTTCAATGACTTACAAAGTTCCTGTGTCATAAGTATTGGGGCATATGTTTGATCTGCAGGGATCCTGGTATTCTCTGTTTAAAAATCTCAACTTCTCTGATAAAAATTGCAAATTCTCTGATTAAAACTGCCAAAATCCACATTTTTCCATGATTGAAATGAAATGGCACTATATATAGGTATCAGCTGAACACAATATTTTATTGATATATTTACAATTTTAAAGCAGTTTGGAAGCCTACTAGTGCCTCAATCACTTCCAGAAAATAAATTCTAAATACTTAAAAGTTTTGGTGTTTGATTTTCGATTTTTTATCATGGAAAATCAGAGCTCCTCCTTCCCCCTTCACTCACCAGGGCACAAGTCCAGCTGCAGGTGTACCCCCTACTGCTTTGTGACACTGAGCAGCCCTGATATGTCAGTACCCTGCCTGTGCCATAGCCCCTCACTCCCACCCCAAAGCCCCCCAGCCTTGCTGCTGCCCCTCACTCCCCAACCACAGCACCCCAACCTTGCCAGTGCCTGTCACTCCCCACACACACTCCCCTGCCACCCTAGCCCTGCTGGAGGGGGCCCCCATCTGCCAGGGCTATGGGGCCAGGGACCTGGTCTGCAGACCTTTGCCCCCAGCAGTCATGCCCAAGTCCCAGCTGCCACCTGTAGGAGGCAAAGGCTTCTTCAGCAGAGTGAAGCACAGAGCCCGACTCCTGCTCCCTCACAGGCAACATGTCAAAACCGGGATCCCTTGCGGGGAAGGGATGAGCTGCCTGCTGCAGTCTCAGGTCTCCCTGCCCTCCTATTCTCCCCCTGAGGCCTTTGTGGCCCAGCAGCGGGGACCTGCCATGGCAGGACAGAGAGGGGCTGGGCGGGGAAGCGCATTGCCACTGACAGCCGCATACCACCCTGGCAAGGCACCCCCTGCCTGCCTGGCAGCAGCGTGAGGCACAACTCCACTCCACCACCCCTGTTGCTGCTGGACAGACAGGGGGCACATCACGAAGGTGGTGTGGAGCTGGTGACAGCAACAAGCTTCCCTGCCCTCCTCTTCCCTGCTGTGTTGTATCCTGTGAACTGGGCTGTGGAGGCCCCAGGTGGGAGGCAGAGTAAGCAGGTAGGGAGCCCCAAGCCTACAGCAGGCAGCCTGCTCCTATGCACAAATCTGGGGGTATGTGCCCCCCATGCTACCCCATTAGAGTACATGCAGCAGCGGGGAGCCAGCCTCCAACTGACCCCTAGACGAGCCTCCCACACCTCTGTCCCACTCCCCACCTGGATCCTGAGGCCGTGCATTCTGGCCCCAGGTCCCATGCACCAACCCAGCTGGGGAGCAACCACAGTCCTGCCCAACTCCCTCTTTCCCTCCCTGACAGTGGGGGCCTCAATCCTACCCCCCCCCCC